CATACATAGCCAAGATCTTTAAAGCCCTTTTCCATATCAATACTCTGTAATGTACGCTGCCACGCCGATGATGTTAACCTTGTACATAAAATACGAGACTGAGATGCTGTTAATTTAATTGTTGACCTTGGGCCATTTTTTTCGATAAATTCTTCACTACACTCGTAGTAATGATGTTTGAATACCGAAAATACAAATACGTCGAGTGCTTGTATGTACATTGTACATCCTTTTGGAACAACGGCAACAACAACACTCTCTTTTCGTAGTAATCGTAATGTTTCATCATTCAGATGTGTTTTCGCACTATCCGTAATAAACAGTTTTGGATGATTATCGTTAACCTTTTTATTCCAATAATGAATGTATTTGTCCATTGTTGGTTTATTATTCACTGCTTTCGGTGTAAAAAAGACCTTGACATCTTTAGAATATTGCTCCTTTTCTCTGTCTGATACTTGTCCTTTACCTTTAAATAATAATACTGGACCAACGCGATTGCTATTATCACCGAAAACCGTTAATATCACTGTACAAAATCGTTTATTACTAATACAACCTTCAATTTCATTGCATGTATTAATATCATTAACAGTAAGCTTACTTTGATCACCAAATAAACTCAGTGGACTTTCATCCATATTACAGACATCTTTAGGTGTAAATGCACCCATTGAGCCACGTTTGGGCCCCCAGCGACTACAACGACGAATATAGGTATGAAAGCCATGAATTAGTTTATGTGCTTCATCTAATGGTATTTTCTGCTGCCTTTTTGGTTTTTGTAATGATAGACGATGACGTTTAAGGAAACGTCCGTACCATTTCGATGATGGTGGTTCATGTTTCATTTCGATACTAATTTGTTTTCCTGTACGTTGTAATTGTTTAAACGACACTCTCTCTTTTCTAATTGGTTTATTATTAGCATTACCAGTACGACGTTCTCGAAACCATTGCAATAACTTATTATCAAGATCAATATATTTTAGTTTCTTTCCACCACCATCTAGACGTTTTCGTCTTTTACCTAATGAGAGCAAAATATTGAACATTGGTAAACTAATAATAAGTAAAAACTATCCATTTTAGAAAAGAATGATAAACCACTGGTATTTTAACTCTTTATACGAGTCTCGTGTACAAAGAGTTAAGATTGCTGCTGTATCGATATAAACGTATTATCGATT